CAAAGTGGACAATTTTTGTTATTCAACACAAGTGACCAGGTTTGGCCCCCAAAAATAAAACAGATTTGATGAGGAAAGAGCTTCACTAACAGGTCTTCAAAATAGGGCAAGTAGATTTTTTAAGTGTAGATTTCATTTCAATCGGAGAAATTGATGGAAGGGGGCGATGTCAAAAGCGTATCTCCCACTGAGTTATGTGCATCAGAAGTGGAGATTCATCTACATTGATCTTGGATGCTCATTGTCAGACTTGAACCTACTGAATATTAAACATAACATAACTCAAAACAAGTCGAGGTTAAATACCGCATGAGGCGAGAACAAAACCTTACAAAAATCTGTTAAGTCAGGATATTTTGCACTTTTTTCTACCTCTAGAAAGATGAGCAAACAAGTCCGGAGATGATAATCCTACTGGAGAGCAGAGATAGATGAATTGATCTAATAACAGTTGCGCTCACTGCCATGGACTGGTTTTTTTAACTTATCCTTCATCTTCAAGTTTGCTTCTGTTTTGGTTGATGTCTTCATTTGGCTTATGTCCCCAAGTCAGTTTCTTCTTTCTCTGGTGTTCATTTATAGCTTTCAAGTGGTACATTTCTGCAGTCAAGATTAATGGATGTTTTTCTAGTTTTCAGGTTAAATACTTCCTTCTACGCACATGATTTTGAATGCTTTGTTGTTTTTATAGATCACCATGGAGGTTTCATTCAACAATGGAAAATTTTGACTATGTATTGACGTGCATATATTACTTTTAGAGGACTAATTTCTCTTGGAAGACTCGAATATATTCTGATAACCTTCAAAAATCAAATCTCTGTCTTGAATACAGTTTCTGCCTCATACGTTTTAGTCTTTCTACGCGTTATTCAACTCCACATGACAGTGTATCCTTTGTATCATTTGATGATTCATTGCTTCTGTGAGAGTTTGACTCATAATTGGAAAGAAGGGAAATAATATTAACTATTTGTTTGAAGTTTGACACGACCATGCAAGGCACCGGAGAATGAGCAATTGTCTTTATTATGTATGTAGGTCCATCCCAACCAAAGAAGTCAAAGGAATTTGAGTCATTTTTCAGAATATCAAGAAAAACATTCGACTATGTTTGTTCAATGGTAAAGGAAGATATGATGAATAAACCCTCAAGCTTCACCGATCTCAGTGGAAATCCTCTGTCCTTGAATGATCTAGTAGCTGTTGCTCTTAGGAGGCTCAGTTCAGGAAAATCATTATCAAGCATTGGTGAATCGTTTGGAATGAACCAATCTACGGTTTCCCAAATAACTTGGCGATTCGTGGAGGCAATGGAAGAAAAGGCACTGCCTCATCTCCATTGGCCTTCAGATGAATCAGAAATGGAACAGATAAAGTCAAAGTTTGAGAAAATTCGAGGCCTTCCGAATTGTTGTGGAGCCATCGACACCACCCACGTCCTCATGAACTTGCCAATGGTGGACCCTTCTAACAATGTCTGGTTTGATCGGGAGAAAAAGTGCAGCATGGTTTTGCAGGCAGTCGTGGATGCCGATTTGAGATTCCGTGATGTGATTACTGGTTGGCCTGGAAAACTGAGCGACGCCACTGTTCTCAGTGGCTCAGGTTTCTTTAAGCTCTCCGATGATGAAAAGAGGCTCAATGGCAAGAAAATGCTGCTTCCGGAAGGAACAGAAATAAGAGAATACATTGTCGGGGATGTGGGTTTCCCACTTTTGCCTTGGCTTCTGACTCCTTATAAAGGAAAAGGCCTTTCGGATTATCAACTTGGGTTTAACAAGCGGCATCATGCCACGAGATTAGTGGCTCGGAGGGCATTGGTGCGGTTAAAGGACATGTGGAAGATAATTGAAGGGGTTCTGTGGATGCCCGACCGGAACAAGTTACCGAGGATCATATTCGTTTGCTGTTTGCTGCACAACATCATTATAGATATGGAAGACGAGGTCCAAGACGAAATGCCCTTGTCCCATGATCACGATCCGGGTTACCGACAACAGATTTGTGAGGCTGTCAACACCGAGTGCTCTTTGCTTAGGGAGAAGCTCTCTTTGTACTTGGCTGGAAAGCTGCCACCCTGAAAATCCTTGTTCTCCCTTGAGAATTCTCATTTTGTTCTTCTAAATTGATGCGTTTGATTGATAGAACCGACAAATGATGGGCGTCATTATATTTTGAGGAGACAGTAATTGTTAATGCTGAATACAAATTCTTGTTCTTGCTTTCTTCTGGTACGACAAGTCGAGGTACAGTTTCTTCCTCTTCTTTTGCATCTTGCTCGCATGTTACAGTTTCTGCAACGATAGCATTACTTCATTTGAACTTCTGTTGCATGCACTCCTTCGTAGACAGTCGAGGTTGTTGACCTTCAGAAAATGAAGATCGTGTGCGTCACTGGCCCCTGGCTTGACCCGTCACTCACATACATGTTGCTGCTCTTAAATGTTATGCTGAAGCAAGTTCATTCAAGACCGTATCTTGATCCAAAGCGCGGCAACTCTTTGCTCTTGTCGATTTTTCGGAAGGAGACTACTTTTATCGCCTCATGGCGGGCGGGTTCAAATTCGATGACATTGAGCTCGTTTGGTGAGAATGATCTGTGATCTCAGAGTAGAATTGTCATGCCAAAGTTGGTTGACTTTTCATACTTCTGTCTCTTCTGCAGTCCATGCCCACCCAACGACCCTCAAGCTCAATGCGAGAGTGAACCATAACCACGGGATGTAACCAAGACTGACCTATTATCAAATTATTTCAAAAGAAATATCATCCATTGATCGCACTACGTCTGTTTGTTTCGTTAAAAATGAATGATTTGGAAAACATTTTCAAAAAAATGATCGCTTATATCGCTTAAAAAAATGATTGGGCGTAAAATATTTTCATCGTTCAGAAAATATCTGGAAATAAACTCTTATTGTATAATGAAAATATTTTCTATTGACTAATTATTTTAAGCGATACAAACGATCATTTTTAGAAAAAATATTTTTTAAATCATTCATTTTCCACGAAACAAACGGAGATTTAAAATGTATTTTTGGGTAAAAAGTAATATTATATTCTTTTCTACATCTCAAATATATTTACATCTCCCATTACTTCAATCATAGGCACCTTTGGACTTATAAGAAGATACTTTTTTTAAATGAGAATGAGTTGCAAAAAAATAATGACACAATATAGAGAGAAAAATGTGAAAAAACATATCAACGGGAGCATATAGTTTTCTGATGACCTGGGACAAAAACAACATTCCTTTGACATATTATTAGCTTTAAAAGGTACGCATAAAAACCGTATCAAAGTACAAATCAACTTCCGACCAAAAAAAAAACGTAGAAATGACTCACTAATATAAAGATAAAAGTTTTAAAATATAATAAAAAATGTTATAAATCGTAAATATTACCGTCTCTAAAATGCATACGAACAATGGAAGCTTCTTCTTTTTTCTTTTTTGGGTCAAAGAACAACGGACGCTTTAACCTACCCACTAATATGGAAAACTTTAAATTATCTTATCATGCTAAAATTAAATATTGCATTAATACAAACGAGTCTCGATTAGATATCATAATGAACTGAGATGAGAAGGATGAGCGGCGATAATTTGGTGCGTAATGCTACTTTAAGGAGAAAGCACCAAAATCTTCTCATGCAACGAGGAGAGTCCAATTCTAGCAATATGCGGCACATTTAGGGAATACTTTGTTGTTATATAGTAATATCAAAAGGCGTTTTTATATAAATAAAGCTAGCAATCTCTATATAAACTTTCAGCCTTTTTTTTTTTTTTCGTATCTAGCAATCTATATGTGCAGGAATCTTTTCGTAGCAATCTCTAGTCCAATTGTAGCAATCTTTTCTCTTTCTTTTTATAACTTAGAGGCAGGAAAGCATCATCTTTAGAAAAATTTAGCCTTATTTTTTTATAAATATATGAAAACAGACTATATATATAAACAATTAGTATAAAACATTTATAAGCAATATCTGTGCGATCATGAGATATTTTATCACGGATTCTAATTAACTCTTTTCATCTAATTACATATAGGTATTGCAAAAGAGAGTCTATATACACATAAAAATATATATATGCATAAGCTTTAAAAACAAATCTATACATGATATATACATATAAGAAACCTTATAACAGGGGAATATCGGGAAAATTGTCCAAGAGGTTTTAAACCTATTGTATGTCCAAAATTGTCAATCCAGTCCTAAACTTTTCAATTTGGTCAATTTAGTCATAAATTTTTTTAAGATCTTCCAATATAATCATTCATTTTCCAATTTGGCCGGAAATCACTAACGTAGACGATTCTAACAATGTTTTTCAAAAAAGTTGTGGATTTTTACTCTCGTAGTTTTCTTTTTTTCCTACTTCCCTCTACCGGTTGTAGGGGCCCCAATGATGCCCGGCAAGGTAAGTCAGTACCGGCCATGTCATGTAAGACAATCGGTATCTACATTAGTGATTTTCAGCCAAAATTGGTCAGGGGGCTATATTGAAAAATTGTCAAAAGGTTTAAAATTAGATTGGTTAAATTGAAAAGTTTAAGATTAAATTGATTGTTAAATAGTAAGTTTAGGTCTTTTTGGACACTTATCCCGGGGAATATTGCATTCAAGAACATTGACATCAAATCTAGAGGTCTCACTTGGGGGCAATAGGTACCCGGTTCGGGCCGGTCCCACCGAGCAACCGGCAATTGGACTAGGAGGACCGGTTCTCTATTTCTGGAACTAGGGACTAGACCACCTAGTCATGGAAATGGACCTTCTGTTGTTCGGTTCCGTTCCTAAGTGGGCCAATGGTTCCGTTCCCGGGTGGGCCAATGGACTAGTTCCCAATTTCTGCGGAGCCGATCGTTAGGTTTGCACTTTACGCACAGCTATTCTTATAAAAAAAAAAAATCAATTCGATCCCATTTTCACTCTAGAATCGGGAATCGAACCACTCACCGGAAACTAGACCGGCGCCCTCGGGAACCACCCAGAACCTGACCAATTCAATCCGGTCTGAGCGGTTCCTAGTTCAGGTGGTTCCCGCTGCACACCCCTGGTCTTGCTCCTTCTCGTTTCTGTTCCAACTTATTGGTCTCGAAATTCCAGCCCAAGCCCATTCAGTTAGCTGGATTCTCGAATATTTTTTAGGCCCGAAGCGTAGAAAATCTCAGCAGTCTGCTCGAATTGCAGTAAAATGGCTGAATAGGGAAGGCGAACAACCGAGGTTTCGATCGGATGCGATCGAATCGCCAGGAGAAAATGGCGTTTAGGGTTTTGAAGTGATTCGAGGGCAAAAAATGGCAGTGACGCAGCTCCTGAAGGACAAGAAATTCTGGTTCGCCTCCTTCCTCATCGCCTGGGCCGCTGCTCTCCAGGTGCCTCCTCCTCCTCCCTTTCGCTGTTCTGAATAAGCTCCTGTATGAAATTCCCAAGCTTTGGATCGTCGAGCATTTGGAATCTTCGATGGGAAGCAGCGTGGCGCGAAGCGTGATTTGAATTTAGGGGTTTTCGTTTTTGCGCAGGGGCATATGATGTGGGTGCAGAAGCAGGATTCCTTCAAGCAAAAATTCGGGAACGCTGACGGGAGCGATGTCGATGTCGATGTCGATGCCGGGGACTGAATCTCGAGATTTCAATCCAAAGAAGGGCTTGATCATCAGTTGCTTGCGATTTGTGAAGTGGAGGAGCAATTCCCTAACCAATGCCTGTGTTGATGTAAGCTCCGAAGTTCCTGCTGCTGCTGTCTTGTGCTCTATGGCTTTGTCGGGAGATTCCCATTCAACATTTACAGTCGAAAGCCTATGAATTGTGGTCCGATTCTCGATGCCCGCGAGTTCTTTTCTCTGGATTGGAGTGCATTTTGCGGTACCGGGCGAAATCTGAGTCTATTTCGTTAATGGGTCAGCTGAATTGCGGGTTTATCTTGGTTATCTCGAAGGCTTTGCATAAATGATCCGAGGCGAAATCTGGTGACTACTTATTGTTTTAGCGATTCATATGAATTTGTGAATACCGGGTTAGCTCGATTGAATGCTTAGCGTATAGAAACCGAGTGGGATCGGCACCCCGAGCTTCACATGGATCGTGAAGCTTTTGCCTCTCTATTTTGGCTGTGAATTTGTGAAGATTTATAGCATGCAAATGTTGTGCCCGTGACTGTTCTTCGACGTGATTGGATGCGACATTATCCTCGTTCTAGCGGCGAGCGCAGCTTCCTTTTGCGTACACACGTGCATATAGGTGTTTCGTATGTTTCTTCATGTTCATATGATCGGAAAACGGGGAAGATTGTTCGCTAGTTTCTCACGCTTGTCGTTCATGTCAAAGTTGGAGGACAAACGCATTCCTCCAGAATTCATGATTTCACTTTTGACATGCTCTTTTGATTTTGGTTTTGTCTCAATGTATGAAAAGTATGGGAAGAAATATTCCCACTAGCTTAGCTATTCAAATTGTCTGAAGGCTTGGCTACATTCTTTGGAATGATGTAGGGTTGAAAGAGGAGAGAGCGAGTCAGATCTCGTGATCGACCCGTCTGTAGCGCGATATTCATCGAAGAAAAGGAAATATTACTCCCATTTTCCTCAGCCTTTAAAAAAATAAAAGTTCTACGTTTTCTTCTTCTCTTGATTGGCGACTCTTCTGGGGACTTAAATGACTCATGAGGAGTGATTTGCGTGTTCCTTCACAGCTGCTGTCCTACGTTTTCATTTTAAATGTGAGGCATGTGTTTTGGAATTGAATGCTTCTTGGTCAGCAAAGGAGACCAATTCTCAGTAGTGGAAACAAGTGGGTTATTGCTTTCTGGCCTCTTTGATTGAATCTTACTTCCTCGGAAATAGTCAGAAATAATTCGCATCAGATCTGAGCGAATGTGCACTGTGTAAACTGATCGATCCCGCGCACCTCAGCCCTTTAAACATTTTAAACACGCGCCACTTAGTGAATTTCCCCATCGCGAGTATCGGGTGAAAACATGAGCAAGATTGGCAGTTCTTCTCAGATATCAATGTTGTTTTCAATGCGAGGAAAACAATGATTTTGAAGGAAGCGGAACTGTGAAAGCTTGAGGCACGAATGATAATCAATTTTTTTTTCTGTTCTCGAGAACAGGTTTGGAACAGAAATCCGTTAGGCTAGACAATTTCTTTTTTTTTTTTTATTTTCGGTATAAATTTATAGCCCATAAATAGGTTTGGTACAGAAATGAGAAATAGATTGTTTTACTATTCTTTTTTTGGAACAGAAACTAAAACAACTCTCTTATTGCTTGCCCTTGCTGATCGCTTGCTGACTGCCGAAAACAGAAATTTAAGAATAATCTATCAAACGATTTCTATTCTGAGAACAAAAATTTTGCGTCGTTATCATATGTTACTTTTTACTCAGAAACTCGTCTAGGGAATAGAAATATCTATTTCTATTCCTAGCCAGAAATAAGGCCGGGGAAGATAAAAGTTATCATTTGTACCCTTAATCGTTGCAGACCATGACAATGAAACATAGGGGGAAATTATCTTATTAATCAGAGGTTATGGTTAGTAATCTTCATATTCATAGAACAATTTTTAAGCAAATTGTTTTTACAAAAAAAAAAAAAATCAGACACCAGCGAACTTTTCAAAGTAGGTCTCATCATTTGTCGCTGAACCAAGAGAAAAATAATTAAGAAAAGGGTTCAATGAACTCCCCGAATCAAATCTTCTCTTCCAATCATATATTTTGTTTTGGGTTAATACCACGAAAAATCTCGAACTGGTATATCTGTGACAAATTTATCCCCAACTATTTTTTTGATCGCAAAAAACCCCAAACCGGTACATCCGTGACAAATTTATCCTTCGTTAGTTTCCATTAAATTTTACTGTCAAATTGCAAAATTTGATGATACGTAGTAGTTGACGGGTGTACCGGTTTGAGATTTTACCCTTCTGTTTGTCACAAGTTTACCAATTTGTGATTTTTGGTGATATTAATATAATTTAACGGACACTAACGAAGGGTAAATTTGTTACAAATGTACCAGTTTGGGGTTTTCAATAGTTAAAAAATTAGTTTGGGATAAAATTATCAGAGGTGTACAAGTTTGGAGTTTTTGGTGGTCAAAAAATTAGTCTGAGGTAAAATTGTTACAAGTGTACAAGTGTAGGGTTTTTAGTAATAAAAAAATGGTTCGAGGTAAACTTGTCACAGGTGTACCAGTTTGGAGTTTTTGGTGGTCAAAAAATTAGTTTGGAGTAAAATTGTCATAAATGCACCAGTTTAGGGTTTTTGGTGGAATTAGCCCTTTTGTTTTTTGGTCAAATTCCAACCAGAATTTGAGCTAATAGATTAAACCTAATTAATGAGGCGATTAATCAATTAATTAGATCCTCCCACCCGAAAGATCATGAAGCTCCACCGAACCCTCCCCCATGTTCTTGGTGACTGAAAATTATATTCCGTTTATTTTGCGAAAAATAAATGATTTAAAAAGTATTTTTCTAAAATTTAGTATATATATCGCTTAAAATAACTAATCAATAAAAAGTATTTTCATTATGTATGACAATTTATGCTTAAATATTTTCGTAGACTATAATAAATATAGTTTTCGTTCATTTATTTAGTTAATAGTACAAACGATTATTTTTAGGAAATTTTTTTTCATATCATTCGTTTTTTGCGACATAATGAAACCTTACATGGAAAGATGTCTGTTCTTGGCAACCAAACAAAAGGGTTTCAAAAAAAGAAACATTTAATAACAAATGGAGTCGTACTCAATTGTGAAAACACAAGCGAGGAACCAATTAGGTTCTCGTTAGTCAACATGTGACTACAAGCATTTTTTTTTTGGGTCGAAATGTGACTACAAGCTTAGTCAACGTGTACTCGTGCAGTTCCTAGTTATCTAGTTTGTGAAAAGAGGGTGAAAAAACACAAAGAGGAAAAGGCAAAAAAAAAAAAATTTGATCCAAACGTACAGCTTCTAGAATACCAATCGCGGTATGTAGTATTTACAACAAGGCAATCCTCATGCCGAAATTATTTAAATGCCCATTTGTGAATTCACATCATGCAACACAATGAAGATATTTGAACACGAAATTAGGCCGCCATTATTTGCCAATTTAATCCTAAACCTGATATAGTCCTTTCAGCCAATTATCCAAATAGTAGGTTTAGTGCTGAATTGTCAAATTTGCAAAAGGATTATGACTAAATTGACAAATTGAAAAGTTTAAGACTAAATCGGCAAATCGTCAATATATATTCAGGACTGAATTGGCACTATTGAAAGATTTAGGATTAAATTGGCCGTCGTACAAAATGTTTATGACTTTTCAGACACAATTATCCCATTTTTCTCTCTTCTACGCAATGTTTTTCGCCTATTTTCCAAGGACGGCTTCCTCGGCTTTTTTCTTTTAAATAATTATCAGTAGTGAGCAAAATTATATTTGGTCAAACATAGGTTAGACATTGCTAAGATGCGATTCAGTAAACTAAGGGCATTAGACATTGTTCCCTTGTCACATCCACCACCTAACGAACATAACTGCCGTGTGAACAAAAGCAACGGCGGGGCTGGACAAGAATGTGAATGGGATCACGTGGCGGTTCCGATTACCGCGGCGGCTAGTGCGGCGGCTGCCAGAATCCCACTACTATATCGCAATATATATAATATATAAAATTTATTCATACTTGCAATCCAATTAATTAATTAGCACGCAATATTTGGCCAACTAAACCAGCAAAAAAAAGCGATTTTTTCTTCTTTCTCGAACGTCACGGCTTACCTTATACCTCCTTACCTAAGCATTATCTCCTAACCTTGGTGGTTAACTTAACGATAATACGTTAATCAATCGATCGACATGTGTCCCGTTTAGTGGTTGAAGCCTATGTGCTTTGTTTGGTTGGTACTCAAGAGAGTGTATAGGTGATGTCGATGTCTAATGGGAATTACAATATACGCAAACCGCGTACGTATACGCATGCTGCTCTCTACGTACGCGTAATTCGAACTCGTTTCACACGAGGGAAGGAGGAGGGTAGATTTTATTTCACACCTAACCTTGTTAATGTGCACATTGAAGACGTCACATTATTTTCGAGGCCGGAAATTCCACCGCGTGTGAAATTGGATGTATATGCAACCTAACTTGCTAAAAATGTAAGTGGGTTTCAATTTATTCCTAATATTGGATTATGCATAGCCCTACAATATTTAATATATAGGATTACTTAGCCAAAATTATTGTCATTATCCTCTTTTACCTTAACTTTCACCAGAACTCCAGGAGGCAGCTTCACTAGCTGCACTTGGATAGAGAGAATTCTCGACTTACATCGCCAGACTTATATGGTTATTACACATAGTGCCACAATTATACGTACTCAAACATTGACCTAACTTAAGTTTCAAATTATCAATATCGCCACCGAACCGGTAATATTGATTTTTTTTCCATTATGAGGAGGCCCAAGCTTATTAGCTAATAAGTCTCGGGCTTATAAAGTACGTTACGGACCTCAAGAACTAGGTAAAATGCGAGTCGAGATTTGGATGGTTAAGCCCAACATGGTAGTATGCACTCATAGGCATACGAATTCAAACTCGATGTGTAGTATATTATCGAGTCTCTATACATATAATACATATATAGCATCATGCGTCGCGCCGATTTGTGAGTTGTGACTCGTATAGGTACATGTCTATTCACACCGCTCGTTTCTATACGGGTTATCACTTGAATGGATGACACGATCCTAGTTTCACTAATGTTTGTTTACATATATAGACATTGTGTCCAGTTCACTGACTCTCGCTTTGAT